AAAAAAAAAAAAAAAAAAAAAAAAAAATCAAACCTTGAAGTTCAGAAAAATTACATCTATTCAGAGTTTCAAATGAGGGATTTTGCTGCCCACTCCTGCCCCTCCTTTGTTCTTCCCCCCCCACCACCATCCCATTTAGTCACTGAGGGTTGGCTGTGTTTCTCTGTTCTGCCACCTTTTGTATTTGTTTTGATGCTTCACTGCCTTATCCTACTCCAGGGTATGTCTACCAGGATCCACATTTTACTGAATTCAGGCTGGTCCTATTGCTGATAGTGAATGCTTGCCTAATATCTACTGTGTAGCAGACCAGGCCATTCTGCTTTCTGTGCCCTGCCCATCTCAGTACCCACTGCTCCCCTATGAGGTGATGGGGAGGTTTACCTTTCACAGACAAAGAAACCAAGGTACCAAGATCAAATAGCTGAAAGATAGTAGATTCAAAGAGCCATAAGATGGTCTCAGCTCTTAAAAAGTTAATGACCTAGGCAATGACTGGAGCAGTTCCACAGCTTGTGCAAGGCCTTGGGTTTGTTTGGTCCTCAGCCTGGACAGGGTGGAGTTCAAGGGAAACTTTGGAAGGACTGAGTCTGCATAGTTCACTGGCAGAGTAGTATTGAATTATTAGTGCATCATATTCATTTCAGAAAGTTTAAAACAAGTATTAAACCACACCCTATGCTGCTCCTGAATCAGATGGTCTGACTCAGGGCCTCAGAATCTGGAGGATTCTGTAGAGGTCACAGGCCTTGCTGATATACAGCCAGGCAAGGGAAATATTGGCTCAAGAAGAAGGTATGGAGTAACTAGGAAAGATAATGTTGGAGAAAGTGAAGATTAGATAAGTAGGTCCAAGTTACACGAGCAAAGGTCAGGCCATGGTGTGCAGAGTTGAATGATAAGCCATGGTTACACACTGGCTTGCACAGCACAGACGTTTGCATTACTAGTGTTTTTAGGTATGATGACACACCTTTGTCTGGGAGTTAGGGGAAGGAAAATGAGGCATTTGAGGCTAGCCTAGGCTACCTTGGAGACCTGAGAATAATGAATAGACCCTGTGCAAGAAGAATAGGATCCAACAAAGTTGAAATAAAACTGACAAAGGCACTTACCACCTTGTGTCCATCTGCCTCTATCCTGAGTGCTGGGGTTAAAGGCATGACATTGGTGTTTAAATTTTTTTTTTTTAGATTTACTTATTTTATGCTTTGCCTGTATGTTTGTCTTGTGGTACCTGTGGAGGTCAGAAGAGGGTATTGGGTCACCTGGAACTAGAGCTACAGATGACTGATTATAAGCCACCATTGTAGGTGCTGGGAACTAAATGTGGATCCTCTGCAAAGGCAACAAAACATGGCTCAAAACTCTGAGCCATGTCTCCAGCCCTCTACTAGGTATTCTTTTTTTTTTTTTTTTAAGATTTATTTATTATTTATACAACATTCTGCCTGCACACCAGATCTTACTATAGATGTTTATGAGCCAACATGTGGTTGCTGGGAATTGAACTCAGGACCTTGGGAAGAACAGCAAGTGCTCTTAACCTCTGAGCCATCTCTCCAGCCCTCTACTAGGTATTCTTAATCTGGCTTCTTTAGTTGATGGCAAATCTATGGATTTGTGGTTTCCTGAGTCTATGAACCTTGCAATCAGTGTGAAACTATATAGCCCATGGAGCATCAGTGATAAGTGTCCCTAACTGTTCCCTAACTCCCAGGATTCTGTTAACACATATTATTAACTTCCAGTGTGGGGATGGACAGGTGCCTCTGTGGTTAAAGGCATGTACTACTTCTCTTGTAGAGGGCCAGAGTTGGTTCCCAGCACCCATGTCAGATGGCTTACCATCTGCCTATTACTCCAGCTCTGGAAGCCAACTGCTTTGCCTTCCATGGGTGCCTGTGTGCGCATGCTCATATCCACACAGAGACATTCACACATACACATAATAAAAAAAAAATCAATAAAACTGTAAAGGACTATTACACTAGTCAAAGTCTCTTCTTTAATTTGGTTTGTGACTAACAAGCTGCCTTGTAGATTTTCTTGCATGAAAGAAAGGGAAACTGGAATATGCTGGTTGACAGCTGTACTATAAATTATCAGTGGTTTTCTTAGTGTGATTTTTAAAGCTAGCACTTACGCATTAGGATCTGTTTTTACCTTTACTTCACAATGTTACAGTCATGATGCAGTTTTGCTACAGATGCTGTTTTTGTTTGTCTTTAGTGCCAGGACCCTCCACTGACAACGGCATCAGTATTACTGTGATCCTGATGGCCTGGATGGTGATTGCAGTGCTCTTGTTCTTACTGAGGCCTCCTAATCTTAGAGGCTCCAGCCTCCCTGGAAAGCCCTCCAGTCCTCACAGTGTAAGAATTACTATTAATCTTCTGTGGGTGGGGGTGTTTGTTTTGACTGAAATACCTAAGTTATTGAAAGAAAAACTTAATTCTTGGACTGAATTATTTCAATGTAGTCATAATAAATCTTTCAGTTTCCAGTCGTCTTCTGTGGAGATGAATATAAAAAAAAATAACAAAAATAGAGCTAGATATGGCTTACATCTGTAATCCCTGCACTTGGGATGGTGGGCCAGGAGGACTGCCACAAGTTCAAGGCTAGCCTAACCTACCTAGTGAAAGCTAGGCCTCCTTGTACTACAAAGTGAGATCCTGTTTCAGGGAGGGGAGGGAGTATCTGTAAAATGACACAGCATCAAGGAAAAGATGTTTTCAGGCTAGGGATATGGCTTAGTTGGTAGACTACTTGCCTGGCATGCATGAAGCCCTGCACTGACTACCCAACACCTCATAAGCAGGATGAGCTGACACACACCTCCTCTGTGGACATCAAAAATTCAAGGTCATCTTTTGTTGATTCATAGCAACCTAGAGCCTAGCGTGGCCTTTAGGAGACCCTGTCTCAAAATTTTTTTTCCTCTGTAGCCTTATGTTGTCAATGTGAGAATTTACAAGCAGTTCTTAAATTAAGAGGAAAACACTGTGGAGCTTTTAGGAGTAGAACATGTAGCCCTATGCTGAATTAGCTAAGAACGGCTCCATTGGCACACACAGGTTCTCCTCTGCAGGCTGTGATGGTGCACCCTTTAATCCCAGAACTTGGGAGACAGCTGCCCTTGGATCTCTTTGAATTCAAGGCCAGCCTTGTCTACACAGTGAGACCCCATCTGTCTTAAGGAAGAAGGAAAGGATGCTTTAATGTACTTTAGACTTTCCTTGGAAAGGGTAATGGCATAAAAAGCTTGTGTATGTAAAGTATTTCTTTCTTAGCCTTCTTTCTTATATTCTGTGGATACCTTTATTGTTTTTGTGTCAGGGAGCAGTTTCTCCAGTGTTTAGAGATAGAGAAATCCAACTCACCCTGACTTAGAAGCCATAACAAGTGACACACCACCCTGGACCTAGGGTGTTGTGTCCTAGGAACAATAGTCCTAAGCCAGGAACAGAGAAAAAAAAAACCTGCAGTAGAAATGCTGCTCACCGTTACAGAGCACACCAGGGTAAATAAACAAAGCCTTCCAGCGTCCTAAGAGCCCCATTACTCTCCCTCTCTTTTCTATTTTGAGATAAAGTCTCATTGGGTATCCCAGCTGGCCATGAACTCATTTTGTAGCTCAAGCCTCAAACGTCCCAGGCCATATAGCTTAGCAGAGCTTTTATCTTCTCATTCATTCATTCATTTATTATTATTATTATTTTTTGAGACAGGGTTTCTCTGTGTAGCCCTGGCTGTCCTGGAACTTGCTCTGTAGACTGAGATCTGCCTGTCTCTGCCTCCCGAGTGCCTGGGAATAAAGGCGTGTGCCACCACCTTCAGATTTATACATAGCCATTCTAAATACATACATACATACACACATGCATAGCCAGTGTCTTTCTTCTTCCTACAGACTTCATTGTAAGGAGGCTTCTCTTGGAGTGGGAAGAAATTTGTCACATGCACCTGAGCCATGTTCTGGTAAAGTGTCTACTTGAGAGTGCTGCACGCAGCCAATCACATTAGTGAGACGGGTGGCCAATCCCATCACTGCTGCAGCTTCCCTTTCTTCAACACCACATGCGAGAATGGGCAAACACTGCCAACCCACAAAGTTTACCTCATGTGAAAAAGAAAGACTGCAAAAACACTTACCATGAAGGTGTTGGGGACAGGCTCCTTTCTTACGTTATTAGATGAAAGTCATTTAACCCATTTTTTTCTTAATGCCAGGGACAGGATCCACCAGCTCCTCCTGTGGATTAATGTTATGATGTGGGAAGCAGAGATTGTTTAACACCTTGCACGACCAAATGACTGAAGATGACCAGAGTACTACTCCTAACCATTTTTCTTTTTCCATCTGCAATTTGGGATGATATTGTTTTCATGAGCTTCTAGAAATCTCACTTGCAAACTGACTTTTGCTTCCTGTGTTGCCACAGTTCTTATTTACAGTATACCTGAGTAAATGATTCTATTGAAAAGTTCACGGGGCTTTGTTGGTTGGCCTAAGCTAAAACATTCCACTGGTTCTCCTGGGAACTGTGATCATAATGTCTGTGGCGGTTTCTGGCCCAACTGAAGGAAAATTGACATTTCTGCATTTAAGTATTTTAAGTGGTTTTGATAGATTTTAATTCTTTTCATAAGGTATTTATTTGGGGTTGTCTGGTATGAGTGGCAGAGCCTCACTGTAGTTACTTTACCTTGGCAGTTTATTTGTGGGTAGCAGTTTTCTGTAGTCCTTGGGACAGTGAAACTTCAGAACATTCTCCTTCCAGCCTCCAGATGAAATCTGCCTGGCTTCGGCTGGCTTATGTGACTAGAATAGGAAAAATTAATTGATTATTTACTGATTTTTTTTTAATTCCCATTTAAAAATTTCTGATGTTAAGAATACTTTAAATAAACATGATTGATTAATATAGTGGTTGGTTTAGAATCCGTTGTGTGTCGTTGAAAGCCACTGTACACTAGCCTTACACAGCTCATGAAAGGAGAGTCAACTCTTTCTGCCTTTGCCAGGTACAGTCTATCCCATACTAACTTGAGCTGTATTTGTTTTTTAAGTGTGTGCCTCTCAGCAAGATGCTCTTTCATTCGAACGCTTCCCTGTTAAAATGAAGTCATCATTCTTCTGTGTGTGTGGGCTGACATTTTAATACCCATTTACCTTTTTGTTGTTGTTGTTTTTGTTTTTTTTGTTGTTGTTTTTGTTTTGTTGTTTTTTTTTTTGAGACAGGGTTTCTCCATGTGTAGCCTTGGCAGTCCTGGACTCACATTATAGACCAGGCTGGCCTTGAACTCACAGTAATCTGCTTGCCTCTGCCTCTCTGAGAATTGGGGTTACAGACATGCACCACCACACCTGGCTCCATTTAATTACTTTTAAAACCTTTTCCATTTTCTTTTCTTTTTTAATTTGTTTGAGTCCTTGTAAATTTTTTTGCCCTTCTGACTTATGAAGAAAAAAGCCATTCCAAGGGAAATGAGAAAAATGACAGACTATTTTTCTCACCTCTTGGCTCGATTCTGTTTAATAATGGGATGTGAATGCATTGGACTAAGAAGGAGCATTGGTAACTGACATTTTGAAATGTGTTTAGAAAGTAAGAGGTTGCATTGTTTTCCTCAGTTCAAAAGCAATGAATACAATGACATCTGAACACACCTAGAAGGCCTAGACTTTTTTTTTTTTTTCTAGAAAGAAACTGCAAGTTCTTTGTCAGGGCCAGAACATATTTTGCTATCACCATGAGGATGTTCCCTCCTCGGTCAGTACGCTGCCACTGTACAGATCCGAGAAACTGTGAACTTAATAAAGTTCTCCATCACTTCACCATCGACAGGCTTGTGACACTGTAGTTATCTCCCCGTGTGATGGTTATGCTCTGGCCCGTGAGCATTTCTGAAGGCATCTCTTCATCCTGTACTGTGATACTGGCTGCTTCCATTCCTCTGGGCTCACTCGGCTTCGTGCTCAACGCTTAAAATACATAACCCCTTCTTAGCTACTTGTGCTTACACAGGGGTGACAACCCAGGTAAGTTAAATCCTGAACAAATGAACAACACAGGGTAAAGGATTTCTCTCTTGCATGGCCACCCAGAGGTCTTCTGCACTTCATTGCTAGTAGCCAGTTTAACCCCAAAACCAGATATGGCGGCAGTCTTGGGACCAGACTAAGCTACATAGTAAATTTCAGGTGAACTTGGCTACACAGGAAGACCTTGCCTCACAAAGGAAAACATGGGTTAAGGACTTAAAGCTGAGCGAAATTGGGATGGCATCAAATGGAGCTGAATTCTGTAGTGTTTCTTTTCCTGTCCTCAGCCTTTGAAGGCTGCACATGTGTCCCAACAGTCTGTTATAAGCTGCCGAAGCTAGACCTCATGGAGAGCTGAGTCTGCCTCACAAGTAGTTGAGACTTTACCTTGGTGAAAAAAAAAAAAATGAATGAAATGTAGATACAGAACAGCTAGTATTAGAGACCAAGAAACATGAACTCTTATTCCATGTGTTCATCTATCACATTCACTATTGTCTAAATATCTTGGCCTTTTCCTATGTGAACCCTCTATTAAGTTAGTAGTTTTTTAATTAAGTTTTTTAATCCCTTAGTTTTCCTTTCTGACATAGAAGAGGCCTAGTTACATGTTCACCAGAAATATATATGATCACAATTGTATAGAAAATATGATCCATACATTTCAATGCCTCTTAAACAGTTGAATTTCTTTGAAAAGTACTTGGCCTTGGGTTTTTACTTTTTATTCTTTGATATTTTTTGTTTTCTTTGAATTTTTTTCTATATTCCTAAAATAATGGTATCCTGCAGAGAATATTAGTATTAACCTAACTAATAATTTATATTATTCTCTTCTTGAAGCTTCTACATGTGGCTCTTTAATCGAGCATATACTTACAGCATTGTTTGGCTTGCAAACATTTACTTGATCTGTAGCTACAACTCTGTTAAAACAGAAAGCTTACATTCTTGTTCCTTTAGGCCATTCATGCTACCTAGAATTCATTTGAGAGTCCCTTCATACTGCTTTATGCAAACTCTAGTTTTGTTTTTCTTTTTTCCACATGGGAGAGGTTAACATTGGGACTGTTTATAGCAGATTTTATCATGTATCTAGACACTGTCCCCTGTAAGCATGTTTTACAATGCGCAGAGATTCTCCACAGTAGCCATTGAGTATTACTGTCCCACAGATCCATTTAGTTTCTGTGATAGTGTTTATAGAGTTATTAATCTTAGATTTTTAAAGAAATTGTGGAAGTCTGTCACTCTAAATGAAAGTTTATCTCCCAGTGATTTTGTGCTCAAGTTTGACCAGCTCAGCTTAAAACACAAAACAGCAACTTGAAGAAGGAAATGACAAATGGTTTAGAATTTGTCATTGCAATAGAAAATAGGGAGAGTCTTATATTTCTCAATGAAGAATCCTGTGTATTTGTTACATATCCAGTGATTATTTTGTTAAAGGCAAAAGTGGTCATGTAATGTACTAACTGTGATTTGCTGTTTCTAAATGTTTTAATCATGCCAAACAAATCAGTCCGTGCCATTTGGCATCTGTTGTTAATCTTTTACTGGGTACTTGGATTGGGGTAAAGGGCTTGTACTATGCACTTTTTATTAATGAATAAATAGAAAATGTTAGTAACACTTTGTTTTCTCTATTTGGCTTTTGTGGGAAAAGATACCTTCTACTTAAAGTGTTGACATCCTGTGTTAACATTTCTAGATACAACTTTTTCTTTTTTTCTTTCTGTCTTTCTTTTTGCTTTTTTGAGACAAGGTTCTCTGTGTAACTCTGGCTGTCCTAGTACTAGCTTTGTAGACTAGGCTGACTTCGAACTCACAGAGATCTACCTGCCTCTGCTAGGTACAACTTTTCAACTCAAGGTATTCCCAAGAAATAAGAGAAATGTTTACATGCTAGCTTGGGATGAAACTCAGTTTTCATCCATGAAGCTCTGGGTCCTGTCACCTGTACTTCATGTGCCAGGCACAGTGGCATACATCTATAATCCCAACACCTGGGAAAGTAGAGGCAAGAGAATCAGAAGGAGTCCAAGGTCATCTATGCCATTGCAAGTTTGAAGCTCACCTGGAATGCAGGAGACTGTAGAAAAAAAAAATTTTTTTTTTGACAAGACTTCCTTGTCAAAAGTTTAAAACAAAAGTATGGGGTCAGTATTCAGAAGAAAAAGTTCTAAGAGCCTCAATGAAGTCATATTACACTTCTTTGGTTATCTTTTCCTTTCTAAAATATGGGTTCAAACAGACATTTTATTTGAGGCAGTAATATTTATTTGAGTAGACATTTGTACTCAGAGATTTGTACCTGTAACTGCACTAAAATCACACTCAGTTGAAAATTTGCTTTTGCTCCAACCTGGAATGTGTCCAGACACAATAAGGCCCTTTATTTCCAGGGTCATTGGTATTGTGTAATCAGGACAAGGTAGCTGCACTCGTTAGTTGGAAAGTTATAGGAGCTTGGTATTGGCCAGTCCTGGGAGGTTGCTTTCTTCTGACAGAGGAAAGGTAAGGGTGAGACACCAAAATTTTACTGCTATATGTAAGGCTGTGTCATCATCAGAGAAGGTGACAGTGCCTTTCAGTTTATGAAGAAAGTCTTGTCCCAATCAGTTCTCTGTTGTTCACATCCTTCAAACTACCTCCAGCAACTGGGACCTGCTTACATCTTTACATTTTTCTAACTTTTACAACTTTTTCTAATATCTGGAGCTGACTGGGTAACAAAAGAGATCTTTTTTAAAAGCTGTCTTTAAGCCTTTTAAAAGGACCTAACATGGGGAAATGCCAAAATTACTCTATGATGTGGTGCCAGCTTCTGGGCATTATATGTTTTTGATACTGTCTTGGTATGCAGTGAGACATACGAGGCTGGCCTCAAGCCCTCCATCCTTCTACTTCAGCCTGTCTGTCTAGTGCTGGAGTTTCAGATAAAGGGTGAAGTCAGCTAAATATCTTAAAATATCAAAACATGATAGCATACACTAAGAGAGCTATAGGGAATACTGAGGCAGGAGGATTGCTTGAGCAAGAACCCCTTCTAAAAAAGCCCACTAGGCTTGTAGCTTAGTGGTAGTTTAGTTAGCAGACAGAAGGCCCCCAGTTCCATCCCTAGCAGCAAAAACTTATATAATAGATGTTATGGGGCTGAGGAGATGGCCAGTCACTAAAGTGCTTTCCTTATAAACATGATGGCCTGAGTTTGGATCAATATTCAGTTTCAAAGGCTGGCTGTAGCCGGGTGAGAATGGCACATGCCTACAAAACCAGCACTCGGAGGCAGAGGTAGGCAGATCTCCATGGGTTTGAGGCCAACCTGATCTACAAAGTAAATCCAGGAGAGCCAAGACTACACAGAGAAACCCTGACTCAGAGAGGAAAAAAAAAAAAAAAAAAAAAAAGCTGGTCGTGGTAGCAAATACCTATAGTCCCAGTGCCAGTGAGATAGAGAAGGGTTCTTGGGGCTTGCTGGCTCGCCACACTGGCTGAAGCAAGGAGCTGAAGCAGTGAGAGTCACTGTCAAAAAATAAGGTGAGTGATCAAGGAAGCACCATGTCAGCTTCTGGCCTCCACATGCATATATTCTTGCAGCTTGCATGTGTACCTGTATATGCACATACATGTTAAACAAACAAACAAACAAACAAAAAAAAAACCAAAATTCTGTGAAGTCTGACTCCTTGGAGACAGTAGTTTAAAGTTTCTCATGTATGAGGTTGGGTCCTGAGCTCAGTCAGGAGAGTGCTTGCTTAGCATACACAATCTGGGTTCAGTCTGTGGCAGCACTACATAATGCTGGACCTGGCGGCCTTTAATCCCAGCACTCGGATGAAGACAGAAAAGTCAGACGTTCAAGGTTGATATAGTATTGT